CCTTCAAGCTAGTAGATATGGAAACAAGATACAGGAATTCGGAGCATGAAGCCTAGGCTGTAGTTCAGTGTCTGGCAGAAATCAGCTAGATGGTTATTACATACAATTTCCCAACTGTTGTCAATACTAATCTGAAGGCCTTCTGAGTTCTGCTAGCTGATATTGACAATGATGCTTATTGGAGGATTGCGAGCCAGCAAGATTGATTAGGGAAATATAATGTCCAGCTATTACATCAATAATTGACTACACATTTTATAGGTATAGCATATGAGCTGTCTAGAGTGCCTACAAGGTAGTTAGATAAACACTTTATGGAAGATAGCAATGCTCTCCATATTTCCCTTACTGAAATACAGGCCGAACCTGGATGCTAAACTGTAGCCAAATTATAAGTAATTACAACCGTACTAATTACAACCATATTACCATTTCTTCTTTGAGAAGACTAGAGGTTCTGAAGAGGAACAGTGAGTACCTGTAACAGCAGGAATGTTGAGGTAGAAGGAAAGGAGGATAAGTGAGTGGTATTGGAGAATGACCAGGGTTGTACAATTGGGGCAGTAGATTTACAGAGGTTTTCTGTCATGGTGATTGGTTCAGATAGACAAGAGGTCAAAATTACAGAGGAAATGGGAGCAGAAGTTGAAGAGGTAGTTTGAGAAGAGGCAAGACGTCAAGGATTACTAGGGATGGTAAGTGATCTCAGGTGGCAGAAATGGGAGGCATAGTTGAGGTCACATTTCTATGGGAGAATTGTGCAGCTGCAATTGCGGAAAATAGATAAGATATTGGTGAATAAGACACAAGTGTCAGAAATAAGAAGGAATGAGAGGAGGATGTTGATGTGGCAAATGCAGAACTTTGTGATGGTAGAAGGCAGAGAGATAGAGTTGTTTACGGGGAACAGGATGAGCAGTTATCACACTGTCTATTGGAAAAGGATGTAGGAAAGTTCTTACAGGGCCTACATGAGGAGCTTGACCACTTTGTGGCAGGGATAACAAAATGAATAGCTAACAGAAGAGTTTACTGGCCAACTTAAGTACTGGATATAGACGGATTTGGGGCTTCCTGCTATTCATCTCAAAGGATTATGAAAATCCAGTAAATTGGAGAAAGCAAACCTAAAATCCAGTTCAGACCAATAATAGGAATGGACTTTGTGGGTCCAATTAGTCCAGCCTGTCAAGCTAACAGATATGCCAATATTGTAGCAGTTATCGACTACTTCTTACAGTTCCTATTGAAGGTTGAACTTCCACATACTGATCAAAGGTCTACCATATCAGTACTTCTTGAAAAGATAGTTCCAGCTGTAGGCTGGTCAATGATAGTCAATACTGATAATAGCACACCCTTTACCAGACATCTAATACAAAAGAGGTGGCAAGATCATGGGGTGATTCATTTTCTATCAGCTATGTCACACCCTCAGTTGGTAGGCCTGAGCGAATGTTACATGCAAATGCTAGTAGGGTGGATCCAGCTCAAATGTCTTTCAATTAGTAGTGTGACTCAATGGGGGCTTCATATGTAGGATGCTGTCATCCATATTAATACCTATTATATACAGCTTCACGGGTACACACTAGTCAAGATTCTTTTACCTTTTAATCCAGTAACTACTGGAGAGCATACCAGAGGATTTGAGGATTGTGTTAAGTGTTTGGTAGGTTTACAAGCACCAGAGATGAGGGAAGAGTTGATCAAAAATTGAGATTCCTCAATTCGAACCTACTTTAGTACACACAAGAAGTCTTATGCTATTGTTTTGGAAATGATCTCACTGTCGTAAGACCAATCTGTCCCGAAGCAGTTACCCGGGTACCATAAACCTAAGTCGGGAGACTTAGTCCTATTTCAGGACATGCAACTAGCAAAAGATGATGGCTGAAAGCTGGAGCCCTGGTGGTCAGCCACCAGGCCTTTGGAACGGACATTAATATTCAAAGTTAGGGGCCATGTTCATCAATTACATGATCCTCCCAGAATAACTAAGAGGTTTCACCTTGACGACCTACTACTCTATATTCTCCATTACGAATATATACTCCGGCAGTCATCACCTCCTATAATCTCAACTGTCAGTTATACAGTTGATAGAATGGGAGAAGTAGAAGGGCATTTTACTCTTGTTCAACTGGGGTTCAACTTTATGAGTGTGGGGTTACATGGAGAGGACCTGGAAGTGGAAGTGAGTTATGAGGTTAGAGGTAGCAGGTAGTTAGTATTATGCAGAGGGAAAAGATATTATGATAGTTAGTATATAACTCGTAAATGGGAAAGTCGAGAAAGGGCACCAAAGTGGATTAGAGGAGGTTTCTATCAGCTAGTTTGAATGTCGAGTCAATGTTATAAGAAAACGAGTCCGTATCTATTATGGATGAATTTTGTTTTTACTTTCTTATCATATTTTTAGCAAGTTTTGGTAAACCTTTAGCTTAATATCATAAAGATTTTAGTTAGCTCTTTACTTACATAGGGAAATCATACATTGTTTATATTTACCAGGAGCTGAATAGGTCATGTTCTCAATAGGAGAGGGTTTGTTGGGCTTGCCGGACAGGGATGTGGAAGTTTAGTCTATATATTCATAATTTTCTTCTCCTATTTTTTTCTTTCCTTTCTTTCACCACCACCACTACTATCACTGCATTTTCAACTGCGGAACATGAAAAGTGGAGAAACAGTTTGAACTTGTATCCTGTAGCTAGGTAGTCGGGCAATCAGGCTAGGTTGGATTCTTTTCTTGAGGTTTGTCTTGTGCGAAGAGGTTGATTAGCTACCTTGAAGATTGAAGGTGATTTGCAATTGCAAGGTATGTTCTTAATGTTGGAAGGTTTTATCAATAATAGTTGGTGATCTGAAGGTTCTTATCCTGTGAAGCACATAGACTATTCTGCTGATTTTTGTTTTTCAATACCAAAGATTCTGGCTTAAGTTTTCTCAATACAGATTAGTGTTCGCTTCCATCTAAATTTGTCCCCCCCTCCTAGGGGAGAGACCCGATGTGAAAGATTGCAAGAGAGGGCTTTGGTGTTATGGTCTTCCCAAACTGAATATAAACTTGACAAATAGTAGAGATCATAGATGTTTTATTCACAACTGATATTTCCTGTATTATATTACACTATGGCCATCCTGAGCCTACCG